AATGTTACAAAATGTGAAATGGCTTAAAGGACAGAAATGGTTTTATAAAGTACTTTGTCTTATTTAAACAGTGCCAGAAAATGTAGTGAAAGGTAAACAAAATCATGTACTTCTGAGCAGAGCATTTAAAGAAAATGCTGCTTTCCTTACCTTTGTTTATTCTCAAGTGTTTTCATTGTGAGTTTTCAGGGTGAATTCCTTCAAAGGTTTTATTAATGGCTCTGGTCTGTGGAGCCTTTTAAATAACTTTTCCTCACCTGAGATCCAACACAGATACATTATCACCTTTTGTGATTATCTTCCCTCAGTAGACAAGGAAATGAGAGACCTGGCCTTGTAATGTGCTCAGGTGTTCATATTTCATGTATGTCACATAATGAATAATAGATTACTGCTGCTGGTTGTTTTGCGGTTGGAAGAAGTGTTTTTTTTTCTCCTGAATGTCTGCCTCCTTTAAAGGAACATGGGGAAATCTATTTGTTGTTCTGTTTCTGTTGAAATGTTTGGCAATAAACTGGAGGGCATTCCTCTTTCTACTTAACTTGTTTTCTATTTACAGTTGGAATTTGAGATGTTTTAAAAATATTATATCTCAAAATTACATTACCTATACAGCAACACATGGATTTCTTCTTAAAGCATGTTTTTTTTCTAGTTTCTAGTTTTTAAAGTCACTTTTGCATAATTGTTTATGTTTAAGCATATTTGCTTAAGCTCTTTGTGATTTCAGTTAACTACATGCAACATAAACAAATCAAAGGTTTTTATATTATTGAAGCATTTTTTGTTTAAAATTGTACTTTAAATGATTGGATTTGAAACAATAGAAAATTTAAACATTGAGGGCTAAAAAAAACAACAAAAGCATTCTGCTTGTTTTCACATTCACAAACTTTGGTTTTTCATTGTTTCATTAGTTTTCAAATCCTTAATAACAAAATGACTTTGCTCATTTGAGGTTTAATAACCAATACTTACTGTCACGCAGGCCTGAGCGTTCTTAAAGTGCTAAATGCTTGGAAATAAGACGGCAACCCCCCCAAATATCTTGCTGTTTATAAAAACTAATGAGGGCTAAAATCCCGGAGCCACTTCTGCACTTAAAGCTTCTTTTTTGACAAGCAGCCAGATCTTTTCCTGCTGATTTCCAAAGTTTGATTATTATTCTGATGCTTTTCTTAAGCTATTTCATTGACTGTTGGAGAACTGAACTCTTTTTAACATATCATCATTTAGTACAGACTTAGGTTTTATCTTTTTTTCCTGTCAGTATTAAATTTGATTCTATTTCTATTTGCTCTCCTTTACTGCAGTTCTCTTTCTTTGTACCTGCTCATACATGTGGTAGATTGAGTTCAGGTTTAGTTAGAGACCTACTGTATTAGCAACCATCTTCTGCCCCACAGCTAGCTTGGCCTCCGTTTGTCATTTTCTAGCAGGCGCTTAAAGCAAATTTGCTCTTTTTGTTTTAGATGAATTCCCTTATTTGATATTATCTGGATATCTTTAAAGATTTATAATTTTTTTTGCCTTTCAATTTGAAAATAATCAAAATCTGCAGTTCATCTCCACAAACAGCTTCTTTGTCCTTCTATTTTTCATAAACTAAAAGTCCATAACAAGGAAGATGAACTATTTTCCAGACCATTATCTCAATTCTGATCATAGAAGTGGATATCTTTTTTTGTTTTTGGAGTTCTTTCTGGCGGTATACCCTTTATACTGATGAGCAGCAGATTGTGTAAATATATTAATAAATGGTCATTAGTGCGCTGTTACAATGTAGCTGTATTAGATTGTTTTATTTCATAACAAGCTGAGCACAGCAAACTGAACACCTATTTAGATGACAATCCCACTCATGTAGGCTGCTCCCCACATTACTAATGGTTTCCACTAACTGCTTATGCAGGGCTCATATATGGCAATATGACCATTAGGACAATCATCTGTTTGAGACGGATGGTATGTTTAATAAGATAATTTTTGTGGTTCACTTCAAGTTGAGACATTTTATCCTCTGAAATAAGAATTGTAGAAACAGTGTAGAAACAAGATTATACATTGTTCTGTTTATGATAAGAGAGTAAACTAAGGTACCAAAACCTCACCACCAACAGAAAACAGTGAAAATAAGAAAAGTAAAAAAAATAATCTACACTGTGTGCAGAATTATTAGGCAAATTAGTATTTCGACCACATCATCCTTTTCATACATGTTGTCCTACTCCAAGCTGTATAGGCTTGAAAGCCAACTACCAATGAAGTAAATCAGGTGATGTGCATCTCTGTAATGAGAAGGGGTGTGGCCTTATGACATCAACAACCTATATAAGGTTTGCTTAATTATTAGGCAACTTCATTTCCTTTGGCAAAATGGGTCAGAAAAGAGATTTGACTGACTCTGAAAAGGCAAAAATTTCCTGTCTTTCAGAGGGGTACAGCAGTTTGGAAAATGCCAAGCTTTTGAAGCGGGATCATGACACGATCAAGCGGTTCATGGCAAATAGCCAACAGGTGCGCACGAAGCGTGTTGAAAAACGAAGAATTGAGACGGATCAAGGGTGAACCTGCCAGGAAGCCATTAGCCACCAGTTGTGCCATATTTCAGAGCTGCAACATGTCTGGAGTGCCGAGGAGCACAAGGGACCTGGCCAAGGTAAGGAAAGCTGAAAATAGGCCACCTTTGAACAAGACACACAAGACAAAATGTCAAGATTAGGCCAAGAAATATCTGAAGACTGATTTCTCTAAGGTGTTTTGGCCTGATGAAATGAGAGTGAGTCTTGATAGGCCAGATGGATGGGCACCAGGCTGGATCAGTAAAGGGCAGCAAGTTCCATATCGACTCAGATGCCAGAAAGGTGGAGGTGGGGTGCTGGTATGGGCTGGTATCATCAAAGATGAGCTTGTGGGACCTTTTCAGGTTGATGATGGAGTCAAGGTCAACTCCCAGACCTACTGCCAGTTTCTGGAAGACACCTTCTTCAAACAGTGGTACAAGAAGAAGTCACCATCACCAACATGATATTCATGTAGGACAATGCTCCATCACATGCATCAATATACAACACAGCGAGGCTGTCCAAAAAAAGTCGAAAAGGAGAAACATGCCCACATGACATGGTCCCCTTGTTCACCAGATCTGAACCCCATCGAGAACCTGTGGTCCTTCATGAAATGTGGGATCTACAGGGAGGGAAAACAGTACAGCTCTCTGAACGGTGTCTGGGAGGCTGTGGTGGCTGCTGCACGCAATGTGGAAGCTGACAGAATCTATGGATGGAAGGCTTTTGAGTGTCATGGTGAAGAAAGGTGGCTATATTGGTCACTGATTTGTTTTTGAATGTCATAAATGTTTTTTTCTGAATTTTCATTTGTTATATTGGTTTACCTGGTGAAAATAAACAACTGAGATGGGTACATATTTATTTTTTATTACGTTGCCTAATAATTCTGCACAGTAATATTTACCTGCACACACAGACATCCTCAAAATGGCCAAATCTAAAAGAAACTACATCAACTTCCAAAACTATGAAACTTTGATATTAAGGAGTCTTTTTGGTCAATTGAGAACACATTTGTGGCCCAACAACAAAAATAATCCTCAAAAATACAACTTGCCTAATAATTCTGCACACAGTGTAATATCAATGCACAATATGGTAGGCTATTTCTGATATGAATAAATTTTGGTTTTTAATGTTAAAATGAATTAAAACTTCAAGTAAGTGAATACACCTTCATGCACTTATTTAAATTCAGTTTTTTTTTAATATTATTTATTCACGACATGTCTTCTCAAGACACTATAGAGTCAATTCAGTACATTCAACTTCTTTATTTGGCTTAAATGGAAAAAAAAAACAAGAAAGCAAAGCTAACAAATCTAAAGTTATCTTGGAGAAAGTCAGTTAAAATGTTTTTTTACACAAGGAGTTCCAGGAAATCGGATTGAGTCCTTATTTTATAGAATTTATTCCTCCTGGCTGAGAATGGAAAGACATTAAAAATATGCTTTGCACGTGTTGTGGACGCTACATTAACCCCTCATACCAAGAAAGTTCCTGCAGAACCAGTGAGAACTTGTCGACTGGGCATCAGTTTACTAATATCAGTACTTTATTAATTACAAAGATAATCTTGAGACTGAAAACACAGCTGAAAACAGTCGATATAAAAAAAAAAGATGTTAAACATACTTTTGCGCCTTAAAGCACTTTGTCCCTTCAGTTTGAAGCATCCAGCTCAAACAGAGAGTTGTAGGTTTGTTTTTGTTATGTTCTGTTGTTATAGAGGCTGAGAAGTCCCTGACAAACTCTGCCTCTTGATGCTCTGGTGCCAAAATAAGCGAGAGGAGTTGTCACTCAAAGAGAAATCAAAGAGGCCGTCCAAACTTCAGCAAAAAAAGAGTCTGTTTAAAAAAGTCTCTTTTAAGAAACAAAGCACTCCGGTCATGCACAATAGAATAGTACAAGTATAGTTCTAAGTTCATATAGAGAAGGTAATAGTAAAATCAGTCAAAAGGGAGGATGTGATGAATATTTCATAGATTTATAATAAATGTCCTTCCACCAGGTCAAATGTCTTGGTCTTAAACTGAGAATGTTTTGCTCTATACCATCTTTTCTGCTCCTTTAATATTTCAAAATGTTGCTGGATCTGATCAGCCTCTTTGAGTCGGCTGTTTTTAGCAATAACCGAAAATCAAGCATGAATGTTTTCCCGATGGCTCCCACTTTACAAAGACCTAATTTGGCTTTAATAAGCTGGAGTGTCAAAACTGGGCTGGCTGACCAAATACTTGCAGACAGAACACCAGCGGACAAAAGAAAAGTCCAACTGGAGTCTTTGCCTGTGTGGTTCTGCCCAGCAGTGTGGCGGGTGCTGAATTAAAGTATGTAATTCTCTGTAGTTCTGTCCTGCTGCTGTATCTCGGTCTGCCAGTCCTCTCCGTAATTTCATGTCTTTGTTTTGGTTTGTGTGCTTTGTTGCAGACTGCTCAGTGTGCTCTGCTGCTGCTTGGACTCCTTCCTGCTGCTGGAGAGCCAATATAACATCTTCTCCATGCTGGTGCAGAGACAGAGGGAAAACGTCACTGACCAAGACACCACAGAGGGGTACGATGCCAGAAACACAGGGCGCTGAAAGATGAATGTTCAGTAGATTAAACTAAAAGTTTGTTTCACAGAGAACCAGATTAATTTATCATAAATTACCTCATAAATTCTGAGTTAAATCTAAAAACTGCTTTATTTCAATTTAATTTCTTAATTCAGAAAATAAAACTGTTAAATGTTTGAGAGTATGTTATAATTTAGGTAGTTTTAGTTTTTTTGTGCATCAAGAGTGTATGTAAAAATTTTGCTTTCATGCATCTTGTATGTCTAGGGGCTATTAACCTAACATTCATGGTTTTGAACTGTGGGAAGGAAGCCGAAAAGAACCCACACATGCAGGAAGTCCATATATGATTCCAGGATCTTAACTTGATTGGTGGTACAGGTGCAACCACCCTGATACCTGTACCACCACCCAGTCCAGTGTTGTTTTGTCCCAAATGCTTGATTTCATCAGACCATGGGATCTTCTACCTACTAGCTTTAAAGTCATAGGGAAGTCAGATTTAAATGTCAAATCATTCTGGTTTAAACATGTATATAAATGTATTCTTTATCAGACTATATTGTCCCAAAATTTAGAAAATTTCTATAAAAAAAAAAAAATCCTGTCTTAAAATCTGTTTTTCCCCCCCCGTTATTTTCTGCAGGCCAGTTAGTTATACGACAACTTGTACACCTAAATTTGGCCAATCATATATCAACTATCATCTGTCAATTATTTTTTTCAGTCATAGCATCTTGATTCATATGTCACAGCTAATATATGCAACGGTTGATATAAGAAATAAGAATCTTTATTTACTTTCCCATTGAGTTATGTCCCAGTGTTCACAGGGATGGACGTCTGTGTCTTCAGCAGGCGTATAGCTAACAGAACTGGCCGCATTGCAAGGCAAGGGCTCAAACATGTACGGCTGTAAGCCTTCTACACCAAACCAAGCTTCTTCCGCCCTGGCGTCCTCTTCCATAACATCTTCGTCCCCGCTTTCCTCCTCTAAATAAAAACTGTATGATGGAGTAGACTCATCCACGACCTCCGACACAAAACTCTCCTCCTCTTGGATGTTTCCTCTGTCCATAGCGTTCCTTGACAGTGTCGTTTCTAAGTCACCAATTTGGTGCTACTTGTCCCAATGGAATTTCCCATTGGGAACATACTAGCACTAAGTTGCTAGCAAGATGCTTCAGAGACACCGGCCACAACCACCCCCTTGATAAACGACCAATCACATTCACTTTGTTCTCTCGTGTAAAGTTGGGCACCACGTGGGAGAATTCAGAAATGCAACGGTTGGAACAGCCATTTCTCTACGACTTTAAATAGATTGCAGGAGGGCTTGGGTTATTTCTATAGAAAATAGGACCTACATCCAGTGGTGGATGAAGTGCTAACCTATACTACTGTATGAAAAGTATTGATGCAGATTGTCAGATCTTACTCAGCTACAATTAAAGTTTCTCAGCCAAAGATCTACTCAAGTTAAAGTACTGAAGTGCTCACTTTTTAAATGCGTAGTTCAAATTTAATTTTCTAACTTCAATACATTAATGCTTGATTTTCAGAGTCAATTTAATGAACCTTGTAACTTTCAGAAACCACCCCAAATCTCTAAAACAGTGGTGTCCAAATTCAATCAATCAGGAAAGAGAAACAGCAGCAGCGGATTACAAAGCTAAGTTGAGCCAAAAGAAACGAGTCACGACTAGCTTCCTAGAAATGTTATGGCGTAGAAGGTACAATAACTGACTTAAAAATGTAGTAGAGTGAAAGTTATAAGTAGCTACACCAAAAAATATTAAAGAAGAAGAAATATTAAACAAGTAATCAAGTAAATGTAGTTTCCACCACTGTGCTACATCCATGAAAGATATAGGCATCAGTGAAAACATGAACTTTATAAGTAGGACTATTATTGTATTTTTTAAAGTCTTAAGTGTTTAATTTAATAAATCCTTATTATAGACTTTTCTCTAATAGAATGAAATTTAAAGAAATTATATTTTTTGAGTGTTGGCCTAGTGGGCAGAGCAGTGGGGTTGTGCTATGAGAAGGTTGCAAATACCCGGTTCAATCACCACTGCACTCTGGGTCCCTGAGTAAGACCCTTAACCCCACATGGCTCCCTGGGCGCCACACAATGGCAGCCAACTGCTATTTATTTAAAAATAAAAATAAAAGGAGATTTTTTCCAAAGTTTTTCTTTAAGAGCTCTTGTGTTTTGGTAATGGCAGACACCATTATTACTATTGGTTAAGATGGCCCTGAAGAGCTCGCTCACATGTCATGTTTGAGTGCTCACTCTGCTTTAGAGAATAATGACCGGTTCATTTATGTTTCCATTTCCTGCCATTTATTTCTCTCCTGTTTTTGTGGTAATGCTTGACATCAGCCTCTATTCTGTTCGCTTTGTTTTCTCTGTCATCCTGACTGTGTTTTGGTTGCTAACCTTTGGTTTAACCCATTTTTTGTTATTTCCTGCCCATTCTCTCATTTTATATCTGGCATTGTCAACATTGATGGCTCCGAAATTCACATTTAAAGCATTTTTTTTCTTCCATTAAAGCAAAAGCATACAGCATTTTTGAGCAATTTGGACTTTGAAGGACAGCCGTAGACAAAATAAGTCCTTTTGATTAGTTTCTCAAATCACAAGTGCTCCTACTAGATGGACTATCTACCAAGACTGATGTCGTTCAGTCCTTGTAATTGGAAATTTTCTGATCTTAGCTAAAGTTTAAACAACCTAACTCTATATTTGAACTTCCACACGTTCAAATATTCCTACAATCTCCGTGGAAAGGCTTTTATCTCACTTGTTGCAAATAAAATGTATAAACTGGTTTTAAAACAGTCTTTTTATTCTGCTATACATTCTTACTATTGCTGCATTTTTATATTCATGAAATGAAAAATATTATAGGTTCCCTGAAATGTTTTATTATATGTCCATTAAAGATCACCTTTGTCCTATTGAGCATTTTCTTAAAAAAAAAATTGTGTTAGCTGTTTATAATAAAAATGTTCTTTTCTTCTCAGGGTGATCATCATTGACAGTCTGTCAGTGGAGAGGAATCACATATTGGTTCGTGTAAACGTGGTGGGAGGTCCATCTGAAAGAAGGCTTCCCTCTCGTGTCCTTGAAGAGGTCAGCTTCCAGCACTTTTTTTTTTTTCTGAGGATGAATAAATAGAAAAATATTAGGCTGAATCTAAAGACAATTCATAAGATAAAGAAAGATTCCCACTACAGTTCAAAAATCTCAATTTTCAGAGGGATTAGTACCACAATCTTAGGGGTATTGCAATGGGAGGGAGAAGTCACTCATTATTTTCAAGCAGGATCTAAATGATGCATGGTTTACAGCTTACAGTTTAATGTAACCTCCTTTTGCTGCAATTTTAGCCCCTTAGGCCCTTTGAGGTAAATTTACAAGCTCTGTACCTCTAGAGAATATATTTCCTTGTTCCTATTTGCAAAAATAGCGCAGACCTATTTCTAATCGGATGGAGAGTGTCTATGAACATCAATTTAATGTCTCTCCACAGATTCTTAGTTGAGTCTGTACTTTTATTGAACCACTAACATTTGAACAAGCTTTGATCTCAGTCTTCCATTAGCAGCTTGGCTTTATATTTTGAAGTCTGTTTTTTCTTTTTTCTTTCTTTTTTGTATGTATTAGCCGACCAATACCCATCTCCATCCAGATTCTTGATTAACTAGGATTAGCTTCTCTCTCTAATGGAGAGCATCCCCACAACATGATCCTACCACCACTATATATATATACTATATATGTATAAAGGGGATGAATTAAACAAATTTACTGCGCACTTTTCCAATTTAACCTGTAAAATATCTTTAGAACATATATACTTTTAACTCTTCTGAACTTTGCCTTAACTTTTAATCTATGAAATGTATTGAGGTTTTTGGCTTTAATATTTAAAGTGTATGAATATAGTCTCCTTTTTTTATAGGTTGTTAACAACATAAAAGAAGGGAAGCGCCTAAAGGCGCTCATAAAGTGTAAAAACCTTTTGGTTAACTAAAAAGATTTTGCAAGGACTGAATATTTTTATCTTTTAATCCTTCTTTTCATTAATTATGATCTACAGAGAATATATCATCTAATTTTTCAGATTTCAAACTTGACCATTCCTTTCAATTTCCTCTCTGTCTTTGTGTAAATTACTAATTCTGCACATTGAAAAAAAAAATGTTTACTGATAACCAGCACTGCCTCTGTCGTTCTTTGAAGCATGCAGCCTTATTTATTCAGCTTGCTCGGGGATTGATATCAATTATTTAGGTGTTGTTTATGCTGAGCCCAAACAGGAATTCATTTATGCTGAGGTCAAGGAAATTATGTTAAAAAATGCTTTCTGGAGGAGAGGGTTGTAAATGAGCTTAGAACCTTTTTTTTTTTCTTTAAGAAAAAAGACACGAAAATTCAAGCTGTTTTTTGTCGTTTGTATCACGAAAGAGATTTCTCAGCATATTGAAGTCCATGTTTTAAATCAATACAAATATTATTATATAGGACAACTCTAAGAAACTAATTTACATTCGCAAATAAAAGATAAATGAGAGGATGAAAAAGTACAATAAACATTCAACAAAAGGCCTGTTTGAACAAGAAAGTTTTCAACTGCATCTTAATAATCCAGAGAGATTTACAGGCAAACTGTTCCACAAATAAAAGATCTGAGCCTCCGAATGAAGGAAACAAGCAACTGTGTTATTTGTTAGAACAATGTTTCCCAACCTTTTTTGACTTGTCCCTTTGGGCATTTTGTCTTACCATGAGTACACCCCTCAGACAAAAGTATTGATGACTGCTCAAAAGTGGAACGTACAATTACAGATTACAAAATAAAAACAGTTTTACTTAATCTTTTAACTTCAGAATTTAATTCTTAGGCCTTTTCATTCTTTCCATCTCAAATAAAAAACTTTAATATGTTGCCCAGACGTTGGAAACTTGCGTGGGTTTTCAGACACTAGTAATCTGGGCTTGGCTGTTTAATGATCTATATGTTAGCTTGGGAATTTGCAAAGGCATACTAAACTTTTACAAGCTAGTGCAAGGAATATGAAATAGATGGGGGTATCAGAGTTAAACAGACTGAAACAGGAGCCTGGCTGGTTTTAGGGTGACGTTTTTGTGAGGAGCTTTATTGTCTCAGTTTTTTCCAAACAAGGTAACTGCTGGAAAGCTGACCACCGATCATAGACAGACAGAGGACTAGGGGATACACCAAGGGCGCAGAGCCTCATATTTACATTTCATCTCGGGAGACTCGACTAGATAAAGGCCACAAGACTCAGTGGGGAGCCTAACTTCAGATAGAGACAGATTGTTTGGGTCAGGCTGGTTGTTAAATTATTTCTGCCAGCCGTCAGTGTTTTTGCTGGAGTCTCATCATAGCAAAACCCAATAGAATAGATTTTGTGTTCCACTCCGCCAAGATCCAAGCTTACAACTTTCTCCAAGATTTTACCATTTCACTTCGGAGTCCAGGAACCGCAGCCAGCCTGCGATCCTGTGCAAGGATCACATCCAGTTTATGGTTCTGGTCCCTTAACATCTCAGGCTGAGTTTGATAGCTCTGCAGATCCCCTCATACACGCTGGGCAGCCTGACAATGGCCAAACCGGCCCCCGTGTCTTCTGAATTTCACAACATGCCAGGTATCCACCAACTCCTAACATTAGAAATCTTGTTATCAAAAATCCAAATATGTATCCATCTTCTACGTCCTTCATAGACAGGCACACAATCTTCCAATCTTCCACTTCTTCCACTTCTGTCACAAAGCCATTGTGTACCCAGAGAAAAACGCCTGCACAGGAGGGTTCCCCGTTGCCCTGTCTTCGTGTAGAAAAAATGTGATCAATTGCATTGAGAAACCAGCTGACCAGAACTATAAGTCAGTTTGTAGGTTTTGGGAAGCTATGTGAAGAGAGGCTTCAATAAAAGACAAGAAACAGAGCTAAGCAGGGTAGACAGGGGAGGGAGACGGAGAAAAACCATCCTCATCCACTGACAGCCTAGTCAGAAAAGTAAAATATATTGCAAAGCAATGCACTTAATTTTCAATCAGATAATTTTGTCGATATCCTAGTCTCAATAAACATATTTAAAAATGCATCCTCCCACTGTAATGTTTCTGTGTAATAAATGGTCTCCAGCTTGTTGAACTTTCTCAACGATGACATCATCTAATGACAGAAAAAAGGAATGGAAAGTTGACTTTCTAAACCTTGGTAACAAAAGGAGCATATCTTAAGGTTACACTGAACTTACTCAAAAACAAAAACTACGTCCTAGAATGAATCATGAATTACTGAACTGCAAAGGAAGAACATTAATGTATTTCATCAAGTGTTACCACTTTTACCAGATCTCCTTACTGCCAAGTTGAAAACTAGGAAGCTAGCTTACATTGTATAGAAATAATGGCTCTAGATGCTGATATGTAACTGTGTTGCCCCAGCTTTGCATATTGATGGTGCTGCAACAACCTGGAAAATATTTGTGTGATCGGATTGAATAAGGAAATTATGCAAATGATAGAAATCAACCAGGTCTGAAAAAGGTGCCATTAAATAGTTATTATGGTTTATTTTCAAATATTTATGACACTCGAAATATGTGGTTATCCCTTTTGACTCAGGGGGAAGATCCATACTCTTGGCCGATGTTTATAAGCTACCCACCACCCCCCTGCTATGTTCTGAACCTTCAGGATTTTCAAAATAACACAAAAGGTAAGAGATATACCAGTTTCACCTTCTCTTTTTTATATCTTTTGTTGTTTCTTTCATTAAACCTTGTTTAAGCAGTATTACGTTCTCTTTTTTACTAAGAGGGAATACTGTTTTCCTTTTACATAGAGAGTGAGATTAGTGCATTTCTGGCTTCCCCGAAAGAACCAAAGAATGAGGAGAACTGGTTAGAAATCTGCCGAAGACATTTCTGCGAAGACATATCAAAATCCAACACTCTGTCTGGAAAGGGTAAGTTACTACATCTCTTTATTGTCTTCCATCCAGTAGGTACTGAGGTTATACTAAGCGCTAATAGTTTAGTAACTTCACTTACAATAAAGCCAGCATACATCTATACTGAAAACTTTTGTTGCATAACAAGCTCAAAAAGAGGACTAGATAGGTCACCTCTTTTTTTCTAATTTATTCAGTACTTTGTAGACTGACCTTTTACTGCTCTGCCTGAGTTTCAGGTTATGCAGCTCTGACAAATTTGACCCGTCTTAGCTTCAGACATCCAACTCTGAATCTCACCAGTTTCGCTGTCTCTGCTGATAACGATTATGTATGAAAATGACAAAAAACTGTTCTATAATTTATATTTCAGTTTATTGGTTCAGCAGCATCAGGCTCCATCAAATTTAAAAATAGCGGTTGCCAACTCTAGTTCCTACTAAAACGGTCATGATCTTGAATTTTTTGGTTAAGCTTACTCTGAAGTATTTCTTTGGGTTCCCATTATTTGAAATTAAAATTGTTTTTAATGAGTTTATGATATTTTAACAAAGAATCCAAAACGTTAAGAGGCAGTATGAATCACGTAAAGTACATACAAACTTCATGCATAGAACGGCTGTGATTACAGCAACTTTTTTTTTTTACCATTGCATTTATCCACCATCCCTAAATTTGTTCTGGAAGTGGAATATACATGAGCTTCTGTCTGAAATACAAACTGGTTGTCTAAAACCAAAAGCAGCAAATTTGGACAATTTTCAAAGCAATTGCTCTTTAATACCAAGTCTAAATCTTCTAAAAACTTTTTCTCAAAAGTTTTTTAGAAGATTCCCTTGTTTCTTTTCAAAGGTTAAATTCATTCACATCGCTTTAGGTAGGTTGATTATTTGTATCTGCTCCTCTGCCGAATCTGAAAATATTTTTACATTTGTACCCACAGATAGAAATTAACAGAGAATAGCGACAACAAATAAGCTACACTACAAGGCCTGAAAATTATTGCCAAGAATGTTCTCAAAGCCAAAATGCGTAGAACGGTCCACAAAGGATCATGTTATTAGTACTATCTCACCACTTGGCTTAGAGTTTGGGTCCATTTCTATTCAGCTTATCTGTACTAACTCTAGTTGGTACTGTGGAAACAGTGCAGAGTAAACATAGAAAATGAGAGATACCCTAGTTCCTGGAAAAGTTTCCTGGCTTGGAAAAATAGGGCTCGAGATCCGCGTTGCATTGTGGGACGTGGCGGCCATATTGAGGGCTACGTGAACGTAAATATAGCTCTGATACAACGTTGTTGTTGAAAGAAGAGATGTAGAAGTAGAGAGAAAAAAGATGTTAAAATCCCCAAAAAGATCTGGAATTTACCAGGACACATTAAATAGAGAAGCCAGGGACCGGTATGTTGACAAAATCGGCATTATTAATAATTTGGATCCATATGAAGTTCCAAACAATGAGTGGAGCACCGATAAGTGAGCGCCTATACTTTAAAACAGTTCCGAAGCTACAAGTCCTTGGAGTCTCATGTGCAGTTCATGAATGGATGGGTTCAGGAGCTGCAGATCATAAAGCCAGCAAACAGTGGGAACACAGTAATCCGTACAAAGGTAAGCTGTGATCAGACGGGCTCTGGAACCTGCTAGTTTAGTAACTGCTATCCACTAGTGCTAACAACCACTCACGCATGTAATGTACTTTTAACTAGCTGCTATGTGTTTCAAAGGTGTAGTTAGTAACATTAACTTCCAACCCTCCCCAAACCTTCTGGGTTTCTCACGTATTCGAGCCTTTTCCCAACCTTGAAGGAAAGAAACACTGTAGGCTATAAAATAAAACCGTGCATCTTTAACTTACCAGAATGAAATGCAGGGAACACACTCTCATTGACATCGGGATACTGTGGAAAGTTATGTTCGGTCGTCTTACAGCCGCGATTCAAGCTAGCCAACGACTCTTTATCTCTGACACTTGGTCTCCGTGGTTGCGCCTCCAGGCAGGAAAGTGGTGGAAAGTTAACCCATTTTCTATGTTTTTCCCATGGCGATCATGTGTTGCGATGTTAAAGCCCACAATACAGCAACGGTTTACTATTGTTGAAATCAAGTTAAGGTAAAATTAATGAAATTAAAACACGGCTGAGAGGGAGTACAGTATGCAGTAGTCATAGGCAGTAGTCTGAGCAGCGGTAAAAGAGGCCATCAAGATGGCGGCGACGCAAAGTGCTTACGTCATGACGACCAAGCCCTATAGGGTGTGTTTGATTTCAGCGGCTGCATCCTCCAAGGACCTGTGCTACCTGGTCTGGGTCCTTGGAGCGCTGTGAAACTAAGAAGGCCGAAAGAGTTATGTTAGCTATGGATTCAAACAGGTCCAGCCTTCTCCGGCTTTCACCGCTTGTACTGTCTGTGGTTATTGTCATGGGTACTAGGCGACAAAGGAGGCAAAGAATGCATAGATAAAACCTTTCAAAAAACAAAACATTACCCACCACATTACCCACCACATATCTCACCCAATAACCATTAAAAACAACTATTTTCATTTATTTCAGACGGAACTATTCATGCTCTTGTATTGTAATAAACTGCACTTACAGTACTCATCACAGTTCTGCTCCATTTACCTTTTTTTTTCTGAGCACACAGCAGCCGGTTTGCTTGGGCTCGCAACGAATAATCGGATACCCAAGGCTATGTAGGATACACTGGACCTGTCCTTCTAAACGGGCAAAAAGCAGTCTTCCAATACGAACAGGCCTCGGTGCTGCACTATGGTGTACTGGGCCAACAAATCTGGCCATAGGAAGCAAATCTGGCCATAGGAAGCAACAGCCACTGGATTTAAACTCAGCAATGGTCTCATTAAAGCAGGGGTGCCCAAGTCCAGTCCTCAAGAGCTACCATCCTGTAACTTTTATATGCATCTCTTCCCTAACACACATGAATTTAAAAGCTCAATCCCCTCATTAAGCTCAGCAGATGAGTGGTAACGAGCCACTCATTTGATTCAGGTGTGTCAAAAATGGGGCACATCAAATGTGGCAGGGTAGTAGCTCTTGATGACTGGACTTTAGCACCCCTGCTCTAAAGTCTTGCTTCATTTACCTTACAGTTGCTTTCATGTAAATATAAAATCTGCTATTTGTATTTCCTCAGACACATTAATACTATTTGGACAGTTTAAGTCAAAGCACTAAAAATAAACATAAAAATTAAGTTTTATGACATAGTATTGCTTTAACCCTAGACCTGATTTAACATAGTGTAAATGTTGGAGATATTTTTTTCTGAAATGAAATACAGCCATGTTGTTGATTTATGTTTTATTTATGGTTCACTCTACCATAAGGAGGAAAAAATGTTGTATGATGAAAATAAGAAGGAATTGCTTCTCACACTTTAAAAAAAAACTTTAAGAAAATACAGCGTGAGTCAGCTTCTGTTTCTAATCTTCCTAAGGGGAATGTAAATATTTCAAATGTACAAATAAATCCATACTAATGCACTGAATCACAGCGCCTGTGTTAGTATATATGAACTGCTGATGGCTTTTATTTTAATGCATTTGTACCACACACTCTCCCCACAAAGATTACAGAAATCCAAAGCCCACATTCACATTTAATAACTCATCACCGCTGTCATTGACTGACGCTTTTTAAATTGCACCTACGCTTATTTTTCTTATATAGGAGTAAATGGTCCTGATTGACGAAAGACAAAAATACATTCAAATGAAGCATTGCAGAAAACCTGATTACGCCTTTCATCAGTACACTTTGGAAATTGCCTACAGAATCATCCACTCTGCTCTCTGGGGCTCATTTGAGTCTTTTCATAGGAAAAAAAAAGAGATGAACAGGATTTATTATCTCCTAAGCTTCCCTCAGCTGCAGCAATAATATTCTGTTTGACATGTCAATAACCACACAAAACTTGGTTCTTTCTTTTTAAAAAGCGCTCAATAAAAGGAAATTGTTACATTTAAGGTTTGACTTCCACATCAGCTAAATATCTTAAATAATATACTTTTTAAAAATCCATTTCTTCCTGTTTTTCTTTTCCTGCTGGGAGACAGAAATGTTTCACTATAGCAGCTCTTCATCAAGACTGTTTGAGCTGTTTCATGTTCGCTACCTCTCTCTCTTGTCAGTGTATTGATTCTTTAATTGGTCTCTTGCAACAGCATATCAATAAGATGCATTCAGTCAAGCTCACATTCACTGACTGGCTTCTGCTAGCGGTTGTGATCATCAGCCTCTGTCTTCTAAGCTGACAGATGGGGAAATGATTATCATTATGCTTTTCTGTGTTTACAAAATATCCTGCAATTCATTTATATGTTTATTTAGCAGTGTCAGAATAAAGGCCCACCTGCCACCCTATTTCGAGCCTGCAGATGAAAACAATTATGCAGATATACCTTCCTACTATCCTGATTTGCAACTGATTCATCAATCATGTAACAATTTAGCAAAACATACATGTATGTTATCTTAAAAAAAAAACCTTTGGTTTCCTACACATGTGGACGAAACATTTGATACCCCTCATTTAATGAAAGAACTCTCAAAATGGCCACAGGTATGACTTAAATCTGACAAAAGTAAAAATGACGATTAGATAAATTCTGTGAAAATAAGCAAATGATAATCAAACTTGCTTTTCAACCATGCTTCAACAGAATGATAAAAAAAAAAAAAAAAAAAACTTGTGAAACAGAACTGGACAAAGATTATGGTACCATTACTGTAACTTAATATTTTGTTGCACAACATTTACAGGCAATCACAGCCACCAAACGATTCCTGTAACTGTCAGTGAGACTTCTGCTCCTCTCAGCAGCTATTCTAACCTACTCCTCAAGAATAGCTGCTGTCAGAGTCACTTATAGGCAATTATATGACGAAATGATGCCTTTAACACTACAGAGGTATTAATTTGTTATGTAATATAGTTGTCTTTTTACCCAAAGAAAAGCACTTGAATCTGCCTCTCCCTGTGTGGATGCCATTTCATGACGTCTTTGTTTCACACCACTTCTGAGGCCTGAAAGAAGTCAGAGAGCTCTAAAGCCAAAAATACAGATTTTCACAACTAAATGGCTCATTATGCTTGATACACATTTAATGTGGAAAATGTGTGGAAAATGAGCTGCCTGTCACAGCGTCTGTCTGCAACATTTATGCTCTGTGCGGCTTTTCCCCCATTCTGGTCAGCTCCGGGTGTGCGTATTCAGCAAAAGCTGCTAGCTGACATCACCAACTACACGAGGAAGTAGAAAACACAGCTGTTTACAACTTTTCCAAAGCCTCTTTGTCGTCCAAGAGCGACAATCATTTCTTTCCAGGAGTTTTCTGTTGATAGTGGTGATATTTATGAACTAAATCATTAGACGCCTCTAGATGTTTACATTTACAAACCCTTCCAGCAGGTGCTGCTGCTCACTCACCATGTTTTCCATGAGGATCTGTTAACACAGAGGGCCGTTGGAGCCCAACATTAAGTGATTTGGCTGACGCGACCTTGCAGACATGTACAGGAAAAACCGAGCTTTAGACATTAGCTAAGAAAAGGTTGCTGCCCTGTGCAGGTTAGCTGCTAATAGAGCCAATTGTTCTAACTTTGAGCCAGAATCATCACCCCTCCCTGTTTGGAAAAGGTGGATGTGATTTTACTGTGCGGGCACAGCACAGTTAAGGTAGCTGCTTCCAGGAGGGGGCGCACTTACATGGATATTCTCCAAATGCTCATTTTCACAGGACAGGAAGGGGCTGCTGCTCCGGCGGCAGAATTCATGAGGATTACTCTGAGATGTGTGAATGAATCTATATACGACTTAATGCATGATTTTGATGAAAGGATTATATAATATAGTTAAAAGCTTAAAAAGGTAGATTTAGCATGATGTAAGCTCTGTAAATATAAAAGACAAATCATACAACATGGAAAAGTTGTCTTTATTCATTGATTTTAGATGTTCATTTCCTATTTTATTTCCCTGATATAACAGAGAACTACAGGGAAATTAGCAATTAAAGCAATGTAAATGTGCATTGATACTTCTAGGGAAATGACTGCAAGAAAAAAGCTTCTCACTCGATAGGATGTGGATCCGAGACTGACTTACTAACACTATGGTTAAAGAAGCAAACGATGGCATTTTCCGAAGTAACATAACAAGTTTCATGCTTTAGGAAATCTTGACCAAGGTTATTAATTGTGGCAACTGCTGTAAAGAATTTTTTTTTACCTGTATTATGCATCACAGCATCTTTAGACTTATCAACTTTGCTGTTCCTGACTTCTTTCTGTAGGAGGTCACTGTATTTATTTTGGTTTTCATTGTAATCCCCATCAGCATCTTCCTTGTTACATCCTCAGTGACTGTGGGTGGCTTTGTCACACAGCTCTGTGATATACGACTCCCACAGTGATGTAGACAGGGTTTATTCAGGGACAGTTGGGGGCACTGAAGCCACAAATTGATGTGAGTGGATGCTTGCAAAGCTGACTGAACACATTGCTGAACATGTGTTTTTGCACATGAGCCCTAATTTTCAGCTTCATTTGTCAGCTTCACATATTTCCAAAATGCTTTGCTTGTATTATTTAAATGCCAATAACATATTAAATTCAAAAGTCACCATGGGGCTCATTCATGAAATGGCTGTTAATAATACAGATCAGTGTTATTTTACATTCCTTTAAGGAGTGTATGCAATATAGTCTGAATAATACATCTTCTAATCTAATATACATTATAGCTGCTTTCGCTTGTATTATTATTTATGAATCTGATTTTTCTCTACAGTGCTGGCTGACCTTCTGGAGAAAGTTGTTGCCCATCTATCCAGCTCTGCCTCAAGATGCTTCTTCTCTCCGGCTCAGTACAAAGGTCAGTTAGGAACAAACAATTTCTTCTTTCTGACAGTGTTGTCAGATAAAAATCACCAAATGCCACTTCAACGTAGCCAGTAAAATAAGTCTACGCAAAACATGCTCTATTATGTTAAATGTTGAAAAAGGTACATTAATAATAGAGTCATACAAACGATGTATTAGTACCTTTTATTGGTGTAATGTTTTATTGACTCCACATTCTGCATTTGACTTTATCCCATCCCCCTCTTTGTGATCCTCCTTTTACCACAAACTCTGACTCGTTAATAATCAGTGTTACTAGAGTGCGCACAATGAGCTGTCAGTTGTTTATATCTTAATTTTTGGTAGGAGAGCATCCAAAGATCCAAGGTATAACCTATTAGATATTAGAGATATACCGATACATTTTTTTCAGATCCAATACGATACCTGGGCTGGGAGTATCGGCCGATATCTGATAACGATCTGATTCAGCTGTTAGATGAATTACCCGTATATATTTTGAATCTGAGTGAAACATTGTTAAAAATGTAACAAAATAACATAGACGTAAATGTACTATATATGATTTATGAACAAATATGCTATGTAAGGTGTAAAGTGCATTTGAATGGAGCTAATCCCGTGGTCATGTGAACAGGATGAAGAAAACAAGACATGGGTTTTTATTTTTTTGAGTGGTGTTATCTACCACTGATTCTTTTAGTTAATTTGTAAATTGTAAATCTTACTAACTATGAAGTAAAAAATCTGATTGTTCTTTTCTGAAAAAAAGTAATCATCACCACTTGCATAGTTGAGTGGAATTGAGGTGCATTAAACAATGGTGAGGACATAAACTCTTTCAGGATGCCTTCCTGCTGTGCTGCTACTTCCACTCAGCCACTCAGCCTTTAACTTCACCTCAGTCACAATCAGGTGGATAAAATCATAAAACTGTCTAATACCACAAAAGTATTTGTGGCATCAGACAATGGATATATGTTAATGTGTTTTAGTTAGGTTTTTCAAACAGAAATCTCCATGTGAAAATATAACAGTAAAAAGAAAATTCATAAGATTAAATTACAGTTCATAGGTTTTAAAAAAATAGAACAATATAGAAAATCCATTAATTGTCCCACAATGCGGAAATTCTAGTGTTACAGCAGCAAGAAATGTGAACATTTGAAAAGTGTATAAGAATAACATAATAGTGAAGAGTTAAAAAATAAACAAATAAAATACTGTACTGTAAAATGGGTTAACAATATAAATACTGTGCACCTGGGGAATAAATAACCAATATAGAGCCATGGAAATTTTTACAGTAATAGATATTTCAAAATAGCAGCAACAACAGAGATGTGCAAAATGACTGCAACATGTTATTTAATTGTCTAAGATGAAAACTGTGCGAAATCAGCATTAATGTAAGAATTTATTAAGGTTGTTGAGGACAGTGGGGGTTATAAAGTCTTACAGCTGCTGGGAGGAAGGATCTATGATAGCGCTCCTTGGTGCATTTAGGGTACAGCAGTCTGTCACTGACGGAGCTCTCCAGTTCTGCAACAGCTTTATGTATGGGGTGGGAAACATTATCCAACAGGGATGTTAATCAAGTTAGGATCCTCTTGCTTCCCATCTCCTGCACTGAGTGCAGATGGCATCCAATAACAGAGCTATTAAAAATAATATATTGGGTGAAAAAAAAAAATAACTTTCCCATAAGGTTAGATTTTCAAGGAATTAAATTTCATTTAGAAGTTTAGACGATTTCATCCTGACAGAACCCGACTTTCCAGCTTATTGATTACATGTAAACTTTTATGATTTTTCTTCTTAAAGGAAAAATATTTGAGAATCGATAGTAACCAGAATCAAAACAAGAAATCTGAACCGGAATTGTTAAAATTCAAATGATGTCCATCGCTATTGAAAGAGGACATCTAGGTTTGAATTGCTCCTGGGAAGCTCAGACTAACTAAACCCCAATGTGGGGTGACTTTGTCAATAGAGACTGACATTTTTTCGGGAATCCCACGGGTCACGGGATTCCCGTGAGATTCCCCTGGGATGGGAGTTAGTATTAGTAACGATCACGTGATTGGGACGGTACAGGATTAAACATTAACGGGAGCAGACGGGAGCAGGAATAAACCAATAGTAACTAAAAAAAACTAGGATCGATGCCAAAAAATAAAATAAAATAGAAAGAAAAAAAAATCCAGTACTGGCGCTGCCATTTTGTAGTTTTTTTCCTTGAAGCCTACGCTATAATGCGAGTCAAAAAAAACTACACGACCCAAAAACCAACAGTGCTTCCGCTCTGAGTTTTTCACCCGCGCTCAAAAACAACAATGGAGGGACCAACAGTTACTACAGTTAGAAACAGGAACTTAACTGACCCTTCATAGAAATTCAGATTCAATGTATTGGCAGAAATCTTATTGAAGACAAAAGAATGGGAGTGGTGCAGGAGCGGGAGTCATTCTGAATGGGAGCGGGATGGGAGTGGGAGTAATTTCACCAGGAGTGGGACGGGACAGGATTTAGATTTCTACTCTGGCCCGGGATCGGGACGGGACACCATTTTTTTCTGTGGGAGTGGGACGGGACAGGAGTAAAAATCCACTCCCGTGTCAGTCTCTATTTGTCAATCAAGCTAATAAGACAGAGCGTTAGCTTATGTTGTCCTGGAGGTTTTCTGCTTCACTTTTGCAGTAACTGCAGCTTAGCTTTATCTTTTTTATGTTGCTCCAACACAATAGGATTAAAGCATTAGCTTAGCAAATAGCAATGCTCAGGATTCATCTTTTTTTCTTTTCTCTTTGCCTTTATAAGAGAAGTTCCTCCTAGCTTAAATAGAGGGTTGCTTTTTTTCTTGCTTAACTTGACAATGTTTCCCAATGAACCACAGGTGGTTTCTCCATCAATGAAACACACCAAAGTTTGTGGTTTTAATGAAAAAAATTATGGAAATATGAGAGTTTTACAAGTACTTTTGCAAAATCACTGTATATTGTAACTGGATTTGTAATGTAAATTCCCTTTGGTTTACATGATACAAGGAATGCAGCTTTAAAAGATGGATGAGACTAGGAATTATGATAGTCCCTCTTTCTGTAACTGGAACGCTTGACATCTTCTTCTGTGCTATCAGAATATTGTGAGATTTCCCCCTGGATTTACAGACATGGGAGAAAAAACAAAAAAAAACATTCACACTTTCTGAGCAACTTCCTACCTCAGGTCAAAATATGTTATGCTTCACAAATCTAACAAGCAAACTGTGTCAGCAGGTTGGCTTGTTTCGTAGCCAGGGGGCTAAACAAGCTTATCAGACTGATGGTAGTCAGAAGGATACAAAGCTAATTAGTGAATACCCAGAAAATGTTGGGAGCTGTAATTTTTCCTAAAGGTAAAGCACTAATTGCCTACTTATTTGTCTTAATGAACCTTTATTTTACAAAATTAAAAAAAGAAAAAACATGCTGCAGTATTCTATTAGCTTTTAATCCTGTTGGCTTTGAATTTGTCATTTTCCTGGTGCAACTTTATGTGCAAGGCTTTTATAATCAAAGCCCTATTCAATAACATCAGCCTAATGGTTTTAAGCAGCATAAACATTTATAGTGTTTTAGGTTTGAACTAGTTGAGAAGTTCATAAAATGTTAAAATATCATTGGTTCGAAGATAAGTAGAAGTCCAAGCTTTATGGCCTTTTGTTTAATGGTCTTTGCTTGTTTTTTGATATTAATAATATACTTTTCTAATTTTTACTGAACATTTGTGTGAAGAAAATATGTCTAAAAGGTGCAGTACTCTGGAGGACTTGACCTGAAGGCCCCTGACCTATAAAAAGGACTTGTTTTTGCTAAGCTAAACATTTTCCCAAACTAAATATAGCTCAGTTTTTCCTTTCTCTTTTTTGTCGTATTCGGCTCAAATTTTAAAGTATGATTTAAAAACAGATTCGGAAGAAAAAAAGAACAGATTTAGGTAGAGAAATATGAAAACAGACACATTTTTGTTTTGGTTTTTTACCTTGGAAATCTGTAGTAGATTGGCACTAAATAGGCTGCTACGTTATGTCGCTGGCAAACCCCTGGTATCTAATCCACAAAGAAAGACCATTATTTTTGATCAGATCTTTGCTTCAGTTTTTTCTAAGTTAGTTTTTCTGACCACAACATTAGTTTGAGATGGAAGGGGAAGGCAAAGACTGCAGGAAAAGGCTTCTGTGGATGTGACCTGTAAAACAACTGGAAGGTGTCCTTGGAGCTGTTGAGGCAGAATAAGCCACTTCAAGGGTTAGATTGGCTGGGGAAGACGGAGCTTTATCTGTACAGACAATCATTTATCAGAAAATCACTTCATTTCTGGGACACTGCTATATAACCTTTGAAAAAGTTGCACATGCATATATTCAAGGTGTACGTGACTTTCAAATTCACTCCATTTCTGTCAGGCTGGAATAGTTCAAACATGGTTAATTTGTACCAGTCTGGTCCCGTGTTAGAACTACATCTGATTATAAAGAGACAAAGCTGAAACTATTTCTTTCACATGCTGCAGAGATGTAATGGAGACAAACATGTGTTGCAATCAGTGTGAGGACTGATTGTGTTTGGATTAGCAAACAGTATGTTGAAAAACCTACCAAATACTATATCCAAGGAACATATTTTATATATCTTTATTAAATAATTGTATATTTCAATGCAATATGAAATGCCAAAGGACTGCAATATTGTAAAAAAAAATATATTGTATTTATTGTGTCAGAAAATCACATTTTGTATATTGATATTTTGGCAGTTTGATGGAGTTGAAGTGCCCCTAATGCCCTCATAAGTGCTAGATCTTTAGTGACTGATGGTTCAAAACATTCGCAAGTAGCTGAAAAATTTGTTAACCATGATTAATATCTCAACCATCATCTCAAACACTGCAATAGATTTTTTTCCTGATAACATTCCACCCTACATATATATGAAATGCTATGCACCTTCAAAATTGTAGCTTTTTAGC